ACGAGACAAAAAGAATTATTCAAATTAGAAATCATGATTATAGCTAAAGACAAATAAATCAGAAATCTTCTTATATATAATTAATCTAGATTAAAATACAATGAGAATATGTTATTTCTTGAAAAAAAAACGATTACACCAATGTCCTATAACAACGACAATATCAATCATTTACAATCGAATAGTTTTCCAACTACGCCATGTACATTTCTAACTCTATAACTCTAATAACTTTTTATCCAGATAACATGTTTATCGGAATACAAAAAAACAACTGTCATTTTCGTATTCCATCTTAGTATTATACTCATTAAAGTCATAATCGATCAAAATAAAAAAAAAGTCTAATCTAAATTGCTTAATAATCTCTAAAAATAGATCTGTTAATAAACTTCTTGTTTATTATACTTACAGTCATAGCTGAAGTAATTTCTTTTCCATGTGGTATTCGTCTAACATAACCACCTTGTACCAATGCCATGCATAAACCCATAATAAAAAACATTTTCCCTTGTTGCATACTATATTCATTAAAAAAGTTCAAAAAATAGTTTTTTCGAAAAATTAAAATATTAACATACCTATTCCAATTGAATCGATTGTAGACAAGAAAGGTTATTGTAAATTCTAAACCAGAAAATATAATCATATATAAGAAACTTGCTAAACCCAATCGACGTAGAATAGTAATATCTAAAGAAAGAGATTCATAATGATTAATATTAAAAATTTCAATGTACCATCAAGAGATTTAACATTATGTATAGCATTAAATTTAAAGAGATTCCAAGGTAATATCGCATTATAAACATCTGTAAGTGTTGTTTGTTTTCCATCCTTAAAACAAAAATATAAAATTCTAAATTGTTCATATTTTAATTCTAACTCGTTTTGATTGTGGTAATGTTTCTGGGCAAAATTGATTAACAAATGCAATATTTATCAATGATAATATAAGTGAAACAATAGCAGGAAAAATAAAAAATATCACGGTCGATTCTGGCCAATAGATAGTACCTAAATGACTACATAAAGCACCAAGTAATGGTCCAAATATAAAACCAAGTGAAAAAGCTGCACCAATCCATGCCTTGAAAACAAAAAATAAACATAGATTAATTTTTATATTATATTTAGTTACAACGATATAATATTCTAACTATGTAAAAAAAGACAAGACCCTAGTAAATGAGATGGATGAAAATGAAGATGGATAAATGTCAACAAAAAATTATCTGCTAATAGAAATAGATGAGATATCTTTTTTTGATATGTAACACTTGCCATTGCTCGATTTCTTTCATTTTCTGTTGTTGAATCCGATACAATAGCTAATATAATAGCAACATTTGCCTTTGAAAGTCCACCAATAATACGTGCAATCATAAATACGGTCAAATTAAATGAAATACACCAAACAGCGTATGAAAGTGATATCCCTATCTAAATAAACATAAAGTAATAAGAGATAAACATTGGAAATAATTATTTCTTTTTTTTCGTTATACCATTGATAGAAGAAGTACTGGCTTTCGACCATAACGATCGGATGCCGCACCACATAATGTCGATGAGAAAAATTGAAGAAAAGAAAATAGTGAACCAACAATACCTGAGAAAAGAATTCGTTTTTAAAATAAAAATAGCTCGATTTTCTTATTTTATACCTCCAAATAAAACAGAATTCCATTTTGGATCATTTGGTGCACCAGTTAAATCTTGAATAAATTTAACAAACGACATTGTTTGAACATAAAGTGAATCCTATATATATATATTTTGAAATATATGATAAACAAATGAAATATTTGTTCGATTTCTTACATGACTAATGTCTGTTCCACTACCATAATAAGTTAATATTTTGGGTAATAATGGTAAAATAATCGTAAATTCCAAAAAATCAATAAGTATTGAAATAAATAAAATTCCGATTATATTCGGCGTAAATCTCATAATGTTAATATCCTTCTATCAGTCTTTGTTGTAGTACTAGATATTAATTTGGCACAAATATTACCAGTCAAGATGTCATTCTATCTAGTAGAAAAGATTTATACGTAATGCCCGAATCTACTTAAGATGTTTCTATATTCTTCTTCTTCTTCTTTTCTCTCTTTCTACAATATATATCTTATAAAGTATCAACGACTACCATCTGTACATGGTCGTCAATAGGCATGTCCTTTATAACTGCATTGCAAGCAAGCATGAAAGATATATTAGCTCAAGAACGCAAAATAAGAGAAAGAAAAAAGAAAGAAAGAAAGAAAGAAAATAAGGAGAGAAGAATACAAAATGTAGAGTCATTAAGAATGATAAGAACAATAATATGTAGTATGTTTGACCAGTAACAAAACACACATTATACGACAAATCTATAAACATAAAAAATAATGGTGTTGATATCCATGAATATTGTTGTTGTGCTTTTATCATTTATTGTATTGTATTTGTCTACGTAAATGCTAATGTATATTGAAAGAAACAACAAGAATATATCTATATTTATTTATGGATTATCATTTTCGTATAAAAATTAAAAAATAAATATTTATACAAAATACATTTAAATCAATCACGAGATCACCATATACGAGAATTTTAAATGAGTTAAAAAAAAAGACGGGAATATTATATCAAAAAAATCACCATGTTTATTTCGATTATTATTATTGTTGTTCATTTTCAGTAACATTCGTTGTTGTTACTTGCATTTGTTCCATTAGGATTTGTATAGCTTGTTGTCGAGCATCGATATAACGTTGTCGTCGAAGTTCTTTATAATGTTCAATACGTTCATTCTCAAGTACTGGATCCGTTAATGGATTATCCCATCGAAGTGAAGCAAGATTAGCAGGTGTCAATTTATTTAAATCAGCTGGATTTACTATTGGTATTAGAAAAAAACAAAAATTTTATATAAATAAAAAATATATATAGATAGATTTTTCAAATACCAAGAATAGATTGATCATTGGTTTCATTCTCATTTAAATTTCTTCCTTTGGATTGTAATTTTCGACGATGTCGTCGTTTTTTATGTGAACGTTTTTTCTTTGTTAAAGTTGTTGCATTAAGTATTTCTGTACTACTGGTATCGATAGGCATTGTACTTTTATACAACTAATCATTTATCTAAAAACAAATTTTGTAGATTAAAGAAACAAGAAAATAAGAGAATAAATATTTATTTATTTATTTCATTTTTTTT